TTTCATTTTGAGGCCAAACCGAGCAAAAATGTGCAATTTGGTGCAGATGTTGTTATTTGCATGGCCAAAAATAAGATTAAATTCTGACTGTCATGTAAATCAATGAGATTTTTTTATAACAGTATCACAGACAACTTACATAATATGCATATAAAAATAGCTGTCGCTCTATTTCTACCAGTCATACTCTATGTCTTAGTAGATGATATTTAAATTATACTAAGATTTTAACTATATATACAGAGCCGATCCTCCCTATACGCAAAATACGCAAGCTGCGTAGGGCCCCCGAAACACCAGGGGGCCCCGTTGCTCTCAAAGATGATTTAATTTTAGTTTTGTTTTTGAATTTGGCCAGCGGTTATGAAAACATGAATTATGATTTATTTTAATGTGGTGCGCTGTCGCCCTTTCTACGTAAAAATCAGTCAGATCAGGTAGCCTAATGTGAACGTCGTACAATCTTGCTCGAGACTAAAAACAAGTTGAAAGCGTACCGAGCTGCGGAAGAGACACTGTTTCTCAAGCACTTTCCGCGAGCGCGATTTGAGACGGAGTGAAACACGGACAATTCGTTCATTCGTTCATAACCACTCATAACCAATCCCCCTCCCCCCCACAGTTTTGCGTATAGGGCCCCCAGAAGTCTAGGATCGGCACTGTATATATATATACAAGGTATGTGCTTGGGGAAGTCGTGGCCTAATGGTTAGAGAGTCGGACTCATAACCCAAAGGTTGTGGGTTCGAGTCTCGTACCGGCAGGGATTGTAGGTGGGGGGAGTGAATGTACAGTGCTCTCTCCCACCTTCAATACCACGACTGAGGTGCCCGTGAGCAAGGCACCGAGCCCCCAACTGCTCCCCGGGCGCCGCAGCATAAATGGCTGCCCACTGCTCCGGGTGTGTGCTCACTGCTGTGTGTGTGCACTTTGGATGGGTTAAATCACCATACTTGGCCACATGTCACATCACTATGCTCAAGGAAAAAATTATTATGGTCTAATAAAAATAAAGAAAACTAACAAATAATCAAACTACAAGCAACATCACAAATAAATACAATAGAGCAAAGATACAAATAAAATAAACAGTGTTTTTCAGGTGTTTAACAGACACAGAAATTTAAAAGTAAACAAATGTAAAAAATAACAGTGCATATTTCACTGTATAAATTAAAGATCAATCTTTGTTGAAGTAACAAAAGCTGTTCAAACAAGAGAAGTGAGTGATTTCCTTGTCTTTTGTTGGTTAATATTAAATTAATATTAAAAAGGCAGACAGCAGGAATAGACTGCTGTTCCTTTAAGACATTATTCACAGATCCAGTGCACTGATACTGATACACATGTGCTGTCTTTCTCGACTGTTTACGTTCACTTAAGACATGGCCAAGGATGTTTGCAAGGATACTCACAAAGACGGGCATGTTGACATATTTTTTGTGTTAGTTTGTCAGTTCAAACGCAAGTCTTGAAAGATGATATTTAATATTTGCGTATATTTGCGCAGCACTCGCTTTCTAACGAGGCTCTCCGTGTGTGCACGCGCTAGCGCACACTCGCATGATTGTTTCAATTGACAAGGCTTCAATTGTACAGCGGTTTTTCGGTTCGGTTTGAATATCTTTACACCCCTAATATGTATGTATAATTTGTCAGTCAGACGACAGAGGGCATGCAGTAGATTGTGTGCAGTTTTTCAGCAAGGTTTTGATCATGTTGATAATTTAGAGGCTTAATGTATCAGATATGATTCATAATAGGGTACCTGTCCCTTTTGTGCTAATTTGAGATTATTTGGCTAGTAAAAAAATATATGAAAGATTCATTTAATCTCAGTATTTTTAAGTATCCTATGTCTCTGCATACTAGATATCATCAATGAACATAAAAAAAAAACGTTGGTCAACCACAACAGTACAGATTCACTAAATCCTTTGGTTAATAGGACAAATCCCTGTGTTATGGCACATCCATACTGTTTCATACAAACTTTCAATAATAAACAGCCATCATTCAGGTGCTATTAAAAAGGCATACCGAATTAAAAGGCTTGTCAGAGTACAACCAGTTTTCTGTTGATAAATACCCCATACTAAACATGTTTATACGTTTGCACCCTCCTTTCGAGGATTTATGAGAAAGAATTGTTTATGTGAATGTTAAGTAAATTGTGTTGACAGGGTCCAGAGACTATAGAGAGCTCTGTTAAACCATGAGATCCGACAGGCATGCATGTGTTTTGGGTGTGTAATCAGGCCGGCATGTCTTTGTGTGTATACGGGTCAGTCACGTTTAAAGTGCTGCCTGTTTTGAACTGTTTTCTTTCAAGATGGCTGTTTTCATCAAGAGCCTGCATGAAGGGTGGAAGCGATTATCTTTGTCCTTTTTTTATGGCTGTCACCTCTAAACAAAGCAAAAAGCTTTGTTTTTGTGAATGGGAAATCAAGTAAATCCTCTGAAGCGTTTAATAAATTGTAGAGAAGCGACATGGCCTAGTGAACTATGAGGTGCCCAGAGCGTGGCAGGCGCGTTGGAAACGAAGCTTCGAAAACTTAAAGGGGTCCTATTATGCTTTTTCAACTTTAGTTAGTCTGTAATGTTGCTGTTTGAGCATAAAAAAGATCTGCAAAGTTACAAAGCTCAAAGTCCACTTCAAAAGGAGATATTTTATTTAACAGAAATCAATTTT